TTATTTGCCTCATGTAATTGCTGTCTCTGAAGCTTATTGCCTCTGACTGCTCATCTAGGACTAGTCCTGGAAGTTTCTAGCCTTCATACATAAATCTAGGCCTAAAAGGTTTTCAGCCTCTAAGACTTACTGCTCAATAAGCCCACCCTTTCTACTAGCGCTTTCTGAACTCTGGCTGGCTGGTTCAACTCACCTGTTCTGGATCAAACTCTCTCCAAGCTGACTGATTCAATCTGGCTTCTCTCAGTTTCTCAACGAATTGCTCTGCTTGACTTCAAACTAACTGTAGCAATCTGTTGTAATTTCCAGGCTCCTTCTCATTCTCTGGCTCATCTGTTTTCACCTGTGTCTAGTTTGTTCTCTCTACAACCTCTCTCTGTAAAACTTTCCCAGTTAAAAACTACTTCTGAATTCCACAAACTGAACTGCCATGAACTCAACTCCAGTGCACTGCCTCTGAAATAGCTGACTCAACTGAACTTCCTGTACAGCACTGACTAGAATTCATAACTGCATGCCTCTGTCTCTGGAGTGTGGCGATTAAAGGTGTCTACCACTATACCAGGACCTAAGCTTTTCTTTACCTGAAACTTGCTCTATACCAGGCTGGTTTTGAACTCAGAGATCTGCTTGCCAATGTCTCCTGAGACTAAAGGTGTGCCTGTATTCCACCTGGATCTCACAGACCTAAAAGGTCTTTGGATGTGATCTCTTGCCAGAGCAGCCAAGTTCTGAATTAAAATTCCTTTACAAGAAATTTTGCTAACTTTTTTGTATCAGTGAAATATTTTACTTTAAGATATAAACAAAGTCATGTAAATAAGGTGTGATGAGTGGGAAAATAATTTGAGCAAGATGATTTTAAAAGATGATTTTATTTTTGAGATTACAATGTAATTACATCATTTCCCTTTCCTCCCTCCAAATGCTCCCATACACCTCTCCTTGCTCATTTTCAAATTAATGATTACTCTAGTCATCGGTAAAATATAAACATACAAGTGACTTTATGCTTGTTTGACTGAGCAGGTTATACTCACATATTTATACATATACACATATACATGTTAAATTATATTCTTTTTCCTGAAGGCACATACTTTGTATCTAGAAGACGTCCTTAAGGAAAAAAAAAAAGAACCCAAAAAAACAAAGATAAATGTTCACAAAGGGCAAATGTATAAGACAGTTGTAGTGATTCATACATCCCAGCCCTTGGGAGGTAGAGGCAGGAGAGTCAGGAGTCTAAGGCCACATATGGTAACATGGTGATTTGGAGTTCAAGACTACATGAAAAAACAATGAATCAAATCCAAAGGGCAAATGTATGAGCCTACAGTTCCCCAAGCCATGACTTTGCTCAAATAAGGAACACTACTCTGTATTACATGGAAATATTGGTTTGCTTTTAAACACTGTGTGTGTGTGCTCACGTGTGCACGCCTGTGTATTGGGTGTTAGATGTAGGTGCTAACATGCCATATGTGTGCGGAGACCAGAATACAGCTTGCAAGAATTGGTTTTCTCAAACCACCATGTGGGAACTGAGGATTGAACTTGGGAAAAGGGACTGTCTCTGACATGAACTCAGTGGCTGGTTCTTTGAGCCCTGAGGGGAGAACAACCTTACCAGGTCACAGGCCCAGGGACATGTGGGTTGGTTCCAGATTCTGGCTGTTATGAATAAAGCTGCTATGAACATGGTTGAGCAAATGTCTTTGTTATATACTTGAGCATCTTTTGGATATATGCCTAGGAGTGGTATAGTTGGATCTTGAGGAAGCACTATTCCTAATTGTCTGAGAAATCACAAGATTGATTTCCAAAGTGAATATACAAGTTTACATTCCCACCAGCAATGGAGGAGGGTTCCCCTTTCTCCACATCCTCTCCAGCATGTGTTGTCACTTGAGTTTTTGATTTTAGCCATTCTGATGGGTGTAAGGAGAAATCTCAGGGTTGTTTTGAGTTGCATTTCCCTGATGACTAAGGACATTGAGAATTTCTTTTTTTTAAATTATTATTAATTACACTTTTTTCACTTTGTATCCCCCCCATAACCCCCCTTTCCCTCCTAATCCTACCTTCCCTCCCCCTTCTTCACGCATGCCTCTCTCCAAGTCCACTGATAGGGGAGGTCTTCCTCTCCTTCCTTCTGATCCTAGTCTATCAGATCTCATCAGGAGTGGCTGCACTGTCATCTTCTGTGGCCTGGTAAGGCTGCTCCCCCCTCAGGGGGAGGTGATCAAAGAGCAAGCCAATCAGTTTATGTCAGAGGCAGGCCCTCTTCTCATTACTATGGAACCAACTTGGACACTGAACTGCCATGGTCTACATCTGTGCAGGGTTTCTAGGTTATCTCCATGCATGATACTTAGTTGGAGTGAGTCTCTGGAAAGACCCCTGTGTTCAATATCTCTTCAACATTGAGCATTTCTTTAAGTGTTTCTCTACCTTTCAATATTCCTCTATTGAGAATTCTCTCTTTAGTTCTGTACCCCATTTTTTAATTGGAAATCTTGATTTGTTGGTGTTTCCTAGATGCCCCTCAACAGAGGAATGGATGCAGAAATTGTGGTACATTTACACAATGAAATACTACTCAGCAATTAAAAACAAGAAAATCATGAAATTTGCAGGCAAATGGTGGGAACTAGAAAAGATCATCTTGAGTGAGGTAACCCAGAAGCAGAAAGACACACATGGTATATTCTCACTCATAAGTGGTTAGTAGACATATAATATAGGATAAACATACTAAAATCAATACTCCTAAAGAACTCCATCTATAATACCAGCTATGGAGAAGCCACCATCCATGCTAAGTGAAAACTGCACATAGCAGCTTTGGGGTCACTCAAGCTGCTTGCAGCAACACTTAACCCATACTCTAGGCGAAGTAAACTGGATGAATGCATTAGTTCTCCAGGCTAGTGAACTTTGGTGCACTTATACTGTGTTGCTAGGATCTTAAAAGGAAGTAGACAATGTTTTCATCTCCCCAGGGAAGGAATTCTTGCAATAGTGCCAAAGACTGATAGCATCATCTTCTAAAATAGCTTGAAGTTTGTTCTTCCATGTACATTTACATATTTCTGTGTGTGAAGGTATCACATCCATATATGTGTGGGTGCATGTATATGTCAAAGGTTGATATAGGGTGTCTTCCTCTATTGCTCTCCAATTTATTTTTTTAGACATGGCTTCTCACTGCACCAGGAACTCACCTATCTGGCAAGACTAGCTTTCCAGTGAGCTCCAAGGATCCTCCAGCGTGAAGATTATAGATGGGCAGATTGGGCTGGGTTTTTACATGGATGCTGGGAATCTGAATTTTTATGTTTGCATGGCAAGTACTTTATTGTCTGAGCCATCTCCACAGTACCTTAAATTTCTTGATCCAAATGTACTCATGGCCTAGAGAGCTATGTTCAAGCCATTCAAGGTATGGCTAAACCCACTTCATTTTTTTCATAAAATTAGGGTTGAATTCAGTTTGATAATATTTTTTAAACATTGTAGATAAGTCTTAAGAAACATGCCTTTGTTTTTTAGATTCCTGTATTGAGTGTTTTGCCTCCATGTATGCATGTGCACTATGTGCACGCCTGGTGCCTGTGAAGGTCAGAAGAGGGATTTGGATCCCCTGAGACCGGAGTTACAGATGATTTTGAGTCCTCCCCCAACTGAAGCCAGGTCTGCTGCCAAAGCAACAAGTGCTCTTAACTTCTTAACCAATTTGCCAGCCTTTAAGGAGCATGTAAGGCAGAAATTGAGACAACTGTTGAACGACTGTTGTGTGCTTTAAAATTATTTGACAATTTCATACATGTATATAATGTATTTTCATCATTTTAACCCATTAGACTTTGCTAAACTGTTTTTGACATTGCACGTTACTAACATAGCTGTGACTTCTAGTGTCACAGTGACCAGGCTATGGGACAACTTACTCTAACTGAAATACACACACATACACGTGAGCAGGCTTACATGCATGCATGTACATTAACACAGGAAAATGTAACTTCTTGGGTTAGCAAGGCTCTGACCATCAATTTTTCTATCTGCAAATGGTAAGGAGTCTTTGCTAAGCAGTGTTAATCCTTAATACCCAAAGCAAGTCATGTTTACTGTTTAATGGCAGTCTGAGCTTTTCAATTATGCTTTTCTGAGACAGGGTTTCAGTATGATACTGAGGTTGGCCTGAACCTATGGAGCCCAGGATGATCTTAGACTTGCAGCATCACTGCCTCTGCCTCTTTACTGTTGGAACTACAGGTATGTGCTGCTATACAGAGCCAAAATGACACACAAAGATCCCTCTTGTCATTGTTGTGTGCTTAACTCATGTTGAACCACACATTCCAACCAATGTGCACAGAAGGCAAAGTATTCCTTTCCTTTAGAGTTAGTCTTGAATAAATGGGTATTTGAGCACTGATGCATTTCAATGTTGCCAACAAAACTTCTTAACACCATATTATTGGTAAATTCACCAATACTGAATTGAGAAAACATGGTCAAGAATGACTTACATGCCAATCTGACTTGGCTCAATTCTAGGAATTGTGATTTCTAAAAAAAAAAAAAAAAAAAAAAAATTAAGGTTTATTCCTAGGAAGTTATTAATCTTCAGGGGATTCCACAAACTTCCCCAAACTGTATATAAGGAGCTGTGTAATGCTTGTGTGCACATCTTTCTGGAGAGAGACATGATAACTTCAGTTATCTAAATTGGTATAGTCCAACTCTGATCACTCATTTTCAATATCCCAAACTGCGAATCACATAGAATTCAGTTTTGCACATCCTGGTTTTAGTAGAAATAAACAGGTAACTTCCAAGGGTTGGGGGAGGGGAATCTAAAATGTCATTTATTTTATGACTTCAGGACCATGTTGTGGTACATAATGGTGAAAGGTTATCCCAAGTAGTAACACAGCTGGAAAAAAGGGTGGTGGGAGAATTGATTTAAAATAAAAGTTAACAAGTCAACATTTAAGTTTCTGCATATTATCATTTTATTTTTCTTTCTGAATATCACAAACTCCAATTAGAGTACTTTAAAAATATTCTTTTGCATGCATTTAACAAATCCAATAAAACAACAGGTATCCAGTTTACTTGCATTGTAACTATGAAGATTTAAGTGAAGAACCAATAAACATATTTAAATCTATTGGTACAGGTGAGAACAAAAACCTTCAAGACATTAGTCTGATGGTATCCTACTACTATGCACATGTTGATGTAATATCACTACTGACCCTGAAGCAAGGGCAAATGGAGATGCAGGGCTTTCCCTAAGAAGCAAGTGGAAAGGATTACATTTCCTCATCATCATCACTACTGAGGGCAAAGCTGCTATCTGTGGACTGAGACAAATCTTCCTTCACATTCCCCACAGTCCCTCTCTCCTCAGAATCATCAAACAACTTCTCATTGGTACCTTCTTCCTCATCAAACAACTTCTCATTGGAATTATCTTCAAAAAGCTTGTCATTGGCATCTTCATCTTTCTTTACATCTATATCTTCTTCATCTTCCTTTTCATCTGAGTCATCGAAGACCTTTTCATCTGTGTCATCTTCTTCCTCTTTGTCATCAGGATCTTCACACTCCTTTTCATCTGCTTCTTCTTCATCCTCATCAGAGTCATCATCAAAAACCTTTTCATATACAACTTCTTCCTCTTCTTCATTATTATCTTCTTCTTCTTTTTCATCTGAGTCTTCCTCAAATTCTCTCTCAGACCCTTCCTCACCTAACACTCTTTCAGAGCCTTCATCAAATTCTGATTTGTCAGTGTCATTTTCTTCTGACTCTTTCTCAACATTTCCAAGGAACTCCTTGTCCAAGGCACCCTGGTCAAAATCTTTTTTAACACCATTTTCTTCTAATTCTTTGTCAGAACCATCTTCAGATTGCTTTTCTGAGCAGTCTTCCTCAGATTCTTTCTCTGAGTCATCATCTTCTGACTCTTTCTTGAGGCTGTCTTCCCCATCAGACTCTCTGCTAGGGTCACTGTCTTCAGCCTCATTTGCAAGGCCATTGCCTTTCTTTTTGAATTCTCTTTCAGCACCATTTTCTTGAGGCTCCTTTTTAGGATTACCCTCATCAAGCTCACTCTTAGGGTGGCCTTCTTCACTCTCCCTCTCAGGGCAGCCCTCTTCACATTCTCTCTCATGGTCACTCTCATCAGACCCACCTTGTTTAACAACTTTTTCAGAAGTATATCCTTCGAATTCTTCTCCATCTTCTGCGTTTTTAAACTTATTTTCATTGATAGTTTCTTCAAATGCCATTCCAGTTGTAGCATCCTGAGCACCCATATTAGACATGCTTGGGTGCTCTGAAAAATGCCTCACTCTGGAAGGCCCTGCCTTTTCTGAACCGGAGATGGAATCTGTACGCTGGAGGCCTCTGTTGGCCTCAGGAGCATTGAGATATGCCTCCCAGCCTCTCAGCCTTTCCTCTCTTTCTCTGGAGGTCTCCTCTACCTGTGTATGAACAGGAACTAATGTTAAGATGAGTTTTAGGCAAAAAGAAGCAACAACCTCTCTGGTCATTTCTAATAATAACACGAGTACCCAGGTTCTATAAAGCAACTTTTGTAAATCAACCCAGGCACTTCCTTAGTCTCTAGTCTTCGACACATATACCTTGGTTAAACAAACTTATACACAGTTAACCTTAAATAAGATCATATAAATATAAGCAAATACTGGTATATTAGTATTGCTGAAAGGTTTCATTTTCTATAATGTTACTAATTAAGCTCTGTCTATATTGTCTATAAGAAGAAAGGATCATTCTCTCCTTATCTTCACCACAGTACTTTAAGTCTTAGCTAGAGCAATAAGACAACTAAAGAAGATCAAGGGGATACAATTCAGAAACAAAGAAGTCAAAGTATCGCTATTTACAGATGATATCATAGTATACATGAGTGATCCCAAAAATTCCACCAGAGAACTCTGGCAGCTGATAAACACCTTCAGCAAAGTGGCTGGATACAAAATTAACTAAAAAAAAAAAATCAGTAGCTCTTCTGTATACAAAAGACAAAATGGATGAGAAAGAAATTAGGGCAACAATTACCTTCACAATGCCCACAGATAACATAAAGTATCTTGGTATAACCAAGCAAGTGAAAGACCTGTTTGAAAAAACTTTAAGTCTCTGAAGAAAGAAACTGAAAAAGATATCAGAAGGTAGAAAGATCTCCCATGCTCATGGATCAATAGGATTAACATAGTAAAAATAGCCATCCTGCCAAAAGCAATCTACAGATTCAATGCAATTCCCATCAAAATACCAACACAATTCTTTATACACCTTAAAAGAACAATTCTCAATTTCATATGGAAAAACAAAACAAAACAAAACATCCAGAATAGCTAAAACAATTCTATATAATAAAAGAGCTTCTGGAGGTATCTCCATCCCTGATCTCAAGCTGTATTATAGAGAAAGAGTAATAAAAACTGCATGGTACTGGCATAGAAACAGAATGGTGGATCAATGGAATCGAATAGAAGACCCAGAAATAAACACACAAACCTATGGATATTTGGTTTTTGACAAAAAAAGCCAAAATCATACAATGGAAAAAAGACAGCATCTTCAACAAATGGTGTTGGTCTAACTTGAAGTCTATATGTAGAAAAATGCAAATAAATCCGTATTTATCATCCTGCACAAAACTGAAGTCCAAGTGGATCGAGGACCTCAACATAAAACCAGACAACATAAAACCTGTTAAAAGAAAAAGTAGGGAAGGGCCTTGAACTCATTGGCACAGGAAACAACATCTTAAACAGAACACCAATACCATAGGCTCTAATATCAACAAGCAGTAAATGGGATCTCATAAAATTGAAAAGCTTCTGTAAAGCAAAGGACACTGTCATCAGAACAAAATGACAGCCTACAGACTGGGAAAGGATCTTTATCAACCCTATATATCTGACAGAGGGCAACTATCCAGAACATACAAAGAACTCAAAAAGTTAAACACCAACAAGTCAAGTAACACAATTAAAAATGGGGTACAGAACTAAATAGAGAATTCTCAATTGAGGAATATCGAATGGCAGAGAAACACTTAAAGAAATGGTCAAAGTCCTTAGTCATCAGGGAAATGCAACTCAAAACGACCCTGAGATTTCTCATTACGCCCATCAGAATGGCTAAAATAAAAAACTCAAGTGACAATACATGCTGGAGAGGATGTGGAGTAAAGGGAACCCTCCTCCACTGCTGGTGAGAATGTAAACTTGTACAATCGCTTTGGAAATCAATCTGGCGCCTTCTCAGACAATTAGGAATAGTGCTTCCTCAAGATCCAACTATACCATTCTTAGGCATATATCCAAAATGTGCTCAACTATATAATAAGGACATTTGTTCAACCACATTTACAACAGCTTTATTTTTAATAGCCAGAATCTGGAAACAACTCAGATTTTCCTCAGCTGAGGAATGGATACAGAACTTGTGGTACATTTACACAATGGAATACTACTCAGCAATGAAAAACAAGGAAATCATGAAATTTGCAGGCAAATGGAAGGAACTAGAAAAGTTCATACGGAGTGAGGTATTCCAGAAGCAGAAAGACTCACTTATAAGTGGGTATTAGACATATAATATAGGATAAACATACTAAAATGTGTACTCCTAAAGAAGCTAGGCAAGAAGGAGGACCCTAGGGAAGTTGCTCAATCCTCACTCAGAAAGTAAATGGGATAGACACTGGTAGCGGGAGAAAACAGGGAACAGGACAGGAGCCTACCACAGAGGGCTTCTGAAAGACTCTGTCCAGAAGTGTATCAAAGCAGATGCTGAGACTCATAGCCAAACTTTGAGCAGAGTTCAGGAAATTTTATGAAAGAAGGGGGAGACCGAAAGACCTGGAGGGGACATGAGATCAACAGAACCAAAAATTCTGGCCCCAGGGATCTTTGCAAAGACCAATACTCTTAACCAAGGACTATGCATAGAGATAACCTAGACCCCTTGCTCACATGCAACCCATGGCAGCTCAGTCTTTAAGTAGGTTCCCTAGTAATGGGAACAGGGGCTGTCTCTGACATGAACTCAGTGGCTGGCTCTTTTATCACCTCCACCTGGGGGGAGCAGCCTTACCAAGTCACAGAGGAAGACAATGCAGCCAGTCCTAATGAGACCTGATAGGCTAGAGTCAGATGGAAGCAGAGGAGGACCTCCCCTATCAGTGGCCTGGGGGAGGGGCACAGTAGAAAAAAAGGGGAGAAGGGGGGATTGGGCGGGGGTGAGGGAAGGGGCTACAGCTGGGATAAAAATGATTAAACTGTAATAAAAACAGAAGAAAGGATGAGTAATACTTTAATGTTCTCTTATCATTCTCAGAAAGCCTCAAAGTTCTGACTTATAAACTGAGAAGTGATTATTTTTTTTTCTATCCTCTACTGCCAAACCACATTTACAAAATATATTATACAAAACAGAGTAAGCTAATCTCCACACTAGATCTGTAGTTGGCAATGCAATTTCCTGTGCCCTTCCTTGGCAGCTGCAGAATTTACCTGATAATCTGTAGTCCCATCCCAGGCTTCAGCAGTGATCTGACGGCCACCAAACCACCTTCCATCAAGACTTTGAATACAACAATCAGCCTCCTCTGGCTCCCTGAAGGATACAGAGGCCACACCATCTGGGTGTCTCTAAAAAGAGAATAAGAAGAGTGAATGACAAGATTAAAAACTAGACACACATTTCCCAATACAGGTAGGGTCTCCCGACACACTGAGCTAAATGACTTTATATCTATCTTCCCTTTTCTCCCAGCCAGTGGTCAGCTGCTTCTTTAGCTTCATAGTGTCTAACAAGAACCAGTACAGTGTCCTTGCAAATGTTTCTGCTAATAATGTTATCAAAGAGGCAAGACCATGTGATTGTTAAGTGTGAACCGAGATCAGATTTACCTTGGGACTAAAGCCTGCCTGTCAGGAGCTGAAGGAGCACCAAGTATGGGCTTGCATGTGAAAAGATTTGGCATCTTCGTATGTAGGTCTCTTAGCTACCTACTTCAAAAGGGTTCTGAGGACTGCAATGCATCATGCCCCTTGCAGCACACCAGCAATATACTGTAGTAAGGAACTCGTATTAGTTTTGGAAGTACAGGGAGAAATACAGAGCTTTTTTTTCTTTCTTGACTGTAATCAGGTGAATAATTGAGAGAATAGCAAGAACTTTGAGAAAACTGATGCTCTATACATTTCCATCTACTTGCTCTCAATCTTAAGTCAGGAGGAAGGGAAATAAGCTCAGCATATCAAATCAAAGACTTGTCTTGTAAAGAGCGTTCACTGAACTCCTGCTGACAGACAGCAGGCCTGCAATATAAAAACAAATTCTAAAACCCCAGGGCACTCTCAGTCACTTCCTCAGCTTGGAAGGAGGGGAGGTTTCAGCACTTACTTAGTCAAGCTACAAACTTACATCAAATAGAAGGAGCTTCCTAATCTGTCCAAACTTTGAACATTCTACTCGAAGGTCTTCTCTGATCTCATTAAGCACCAGTGGATCATCCTGCAAAAACAAACATGTTTAGAGTTCCCTCCTTCTTCACTATTCAAGAACCAATTTATTACTGTGACAATTTTACACATGACAAACAGTGCTTTGCTTAAATTTAGGTACATCTGTCTGCAGACTATGGTAATGAAGGAAGGAATAAAAATAAAGTTAGGTGACTTCACTCACTGCTATTAATGCATATTTACTCTGAGAAAGAGGAAATGGACATACGTGTGTGTGTGTGCGTGTATTTTAAAAAACACAGTAAAATATTTTTGTTGCTTTTCCACTGTGAAAAAAACAACATTAAAGCACTGATGATCCCAGTGGTCTCTAGTTCAGGAGGATTCTCCTCCCTGAACTCTGGAAGAATTCAAGACTCCCAGTAACAATAAACAGACCTCCAAGCTTTGGGGCATGACATTTGTCAGAAATGAATGCTTCACCTCTGCACTACAGTGGCCTAGAGCTTCCCTTTTCTAAGATAGTGCTTAAACGTAGTAAGCTCCACAAAGAACTTTCTGATCTAAGCTTTACACTGATTAAGACGGTGGACAACGACCATGTGTGGTGAGTAGGTACGTCCTTTTCCTTATAAAAAGTACTCTCCCTAGCTTCATCTTATTTTTTACTAAAGTTATAGAAATACTAAGCTTCATGTAGCTTCTCATATTGTATTGGACCATGCTGATGTCCTCAAAAACCATGCCAGAGTTCTGATTCTTCATTTCTTGATATTCAAACTTTGTAGGCAAAATAGTTTTAGACAAGGTTTAGAACTGAACATTAAACCCGCTGGCAGGTACATCAGAAAATTATCCTTCATTATTTACCCTGATACCAGAGAATATTTTTACATATGCAACTTCTAACATTACTCAGAAGAAAATTGGAAGAAAAACACTCCATCCTTCCAATATGGGTTCTTTTTGATAACTTGGGTAATCCAGCAAAGCTGTTTTTGTTTTTCTCTCAAGAGTTTAATGTTGGTGTCTGTTCTTTAGGGTCATAAAACGCCCTCAAATTAAACAGCCTTTAAAATTCTTTTCGAACTCTTCTGTCAAGAGTTATACAGCACACCAGGACTATGTCTGTAATCCAGCTCATGGGAAGTGGCAGGATTGTAAGTTTTAAGCCAGCCTGGGGAAGTAAAATCCTGTCTGCAAAACAAGAACTGAGAGAATGATAGACCATCCTAATAATGGTAGTTGTTCTATAGCTATATTATCCAATATAGTAGCCACAGGTGTCTTGTATAACTGAGATGAATCTTAATTGATTTTAGTAATAATTTGTGGCTAGGAGTCAACTTCACTTGGATTGTACAGGGCTATACTGACATGATTTGAGGTCCAGGTCCAAGTCCAGAAACCCTGAACCAAAAAGCAAGACAACTGTCATCTCTCTTTTAACAGGCTCTCATCAAGATAGCAGGATCACTGGAAATCAGGCATCCCTGCAAGTGAAAAGAACACACACCAAGAACTATTTCCTTCCTTGCAAATTCTGAAGTTCACCACTGCCAGACGAGACGTTCCTGCCACTCAATGTGGCACAACACTGGGAACAGAAACTTGCCCTGATTTACAAAGATGCTAAAAAGAAACTGTGTTTTCCACTAGGCAATGGAAAGACGGGCTTGGAACTAACAGGGACCTCACTCATTCCTTTAATTATTCTTCACACACACAAAAAAAGGAAGCATTAGGGTTAAGTCAATGGTGGACTATATACTTGTTTAGCATGTACAAGGCCTATGTTAGATGCAAGCACCACAAAAATACTCAGTACATACTACTGCACGTATACTCAAGTACTGAGCAGTGAAAAGCACAGTTCTGTTCACTAGAAATAAAGCAGACAAAGCAAAGTCCTAGGTTCTTGGGGAGCTCATAAGGGTTTTCAGATGAAAACAAATACTGTGAAGGCAAACCAAAACAGAAATATAAAAATTTGTAACTTTAAAGCACTAGCTTAAAACAAAAGAAGGATTTTTAGTACAGACATTTATTTACTTATTTGGTGTGTGTGCACATGCATGCCTAAAGACACCTTCAGAGGTGATACAACTTAAGAGAGTTGTTTCTCTCCTAATACCATGTGGGTCCAAGTATCAAACTCAGGTGGTTGGGCTTGATGGTAAATACCTTTACTAACTGAATCTTGCTGGCTCTTGGACTCGTTTTGAAAGACTCAGCCATTTATAAGTGTGAAACTTCTGTCTTAAAAAATATCCACCAGAAAGAATTTGTGATAGCTGGGAACAAATGTAGTGTTTGAGCTGGGAGTGGTGGCGTAGGGCTGTATTCTAGCACTCCAGGAGATGGAATCAAGAGGACTTTAAGTTTGAGGACTATCTGGACTACAAAGCAAAGGCCATCCAGAGCTACACAGTGAAGGTCCATTTCAAAAATAACTAAAAACCCAAGTAGTTTTTAAGGGACAAATAATATGGAATCTAGGAAAACCTAATTGTGCGTAGCGTGAGAGCTTTATTGGAAAAAGTTTTCCCAAGGCCAGAGGAAGAAGAACAGATACAATTACAGATTTCTTGCAGAGGACCAGAAGCTCTGGATGAGGTTTACAATTGCTTCTTGTCTAAGTGGGATAAATGTGTGTATAACACCTAATGAGTCAAGTACTCATTTCTCATGGGACATGAAAATAAGGCATTCTAGTAGCATATTCAGCTGATTATATGCATTACTTTTAAAACTTCCTCTGGCAAGGGCAACATTTCAAAAAGCAAATACAAATGGCCTATCTCAGTAAATCCAGCCTAAATTTAAAATCAACTAAGTGTAAAGTATACTTTACACCAGTGTAGCCTTCTTCACCTTTACAACATACAGAACACCTATTAGCCCAAAGCTTAGCAAAAGCATGTCAGAACCATCTGTTTTATCATACAGTGTTGAATAGCCCAGCTAGTTTACTGAATGCTGGCTAGGTACACTGTAGACTCTTGGTTGCTGACCCTCATGGCAAATGGCTGCTAGAGCACTGCATGCAGCTTGCAGCTGCTGCACCTAGTGTTGTGCGAAAGGATCATACCAAATGTCACTAGCCTGACAAATATCTAAAAGCCCAAAATGTGAATCATGGTTTGTATTGAATTCTCAGCTGCTGTCATGTCATTTAAAGTTGGAAAACCCTCAAGTCAGACCAGTGTTAAGTCAGAGACTGGCTATGTAGTATGTATTTATGATTTTCACCTGCACTACATTATTACTCTATAACTAAAACAGCTGGTATATATTCCAAGAGTCTTCTGATCTCAGGTGAGAAGAGACATAAAGCAGCTTTAGAAATAGACTGCATAATCCATCTAATCATGAAAAGACATGAGGGTAGTTCAGCAATGAATTGTCCATTTTAAGGCCCTTGATAAGGTGCTAAATTGAAAATACCACTTGGACACTGTTGACAACATGAACAAGAACAAGAAGATCATACAGAGGTTGCAACCAGAATGTTTCAAAATCTGAATTTTTTACATTATGAACATTTTTTCCTTGTGTGCAATGTGTTATCATTAATTCCAGAACCAGACAGCAAAAACAGGGTTGTTTTTCCACTACTGATAGTACGGATCTAAACTAGCACATGACATCAAGAGGCACAATGCAATGTAAGCTAGCTTGACAATTACTACTATTCCTTTAACACCTTTTTTGCTGTTTGGGGGATTTTGCGTGGATATTAAAATGTGGTCTTAAAAAAAAAAAAACCTCCAGTATTGGAATATAAGATTTCTTCAAGGATCAAACTTTTATTAGTAACTCAAAGTTTTCAGATGTTAGTGTGGAACTGGTATTTTCCCCCCAAATCAGCTGCTCTTTACTGAATTATACTACAAACCCACAAGCTGCTCCTGTTGATCTGATTTCAGATAGCAAGCAGCTGTGATTTGGGGCCACAGTATGACTATTAATACTCTTATCTGGGATACAATCAAAATAACACTGGAATAAACACAGGGAATTCTAAATACAGGTTGAGTCTTTGTTCCATTTTCCTATCCTACCCATGACTAAATCAATACACCTTCCCAAAGATGGGGAATGGTAAGCTTTGAACCCTCCTGTAAGAAAATGTACCAGAATTTTTAGATGTTAAAATACCATTTCCTACCTCAAAATCCATTGGGTGAAACATATTTTTCAGGATGACAACTCGCTCGTGGCGCATCCGGGATGGTCCAGCTCTCCTCTCAGGTCTCCAATCCAACTGCCTAATGTAATAAATAATAACAGCAAACTGAAATCTGGGTTCAGATTTGTGGGAGAGAAAAAAAAAGGATGGATGTAATCCTTTAGTGAGAGTTTAATAATAGTCATTATCTGATTCCAACATAGTTCCACAGAACTTCCTGAAGAAAAAAAAAATTCCAGGCAGGGGGAAAATACACACTCAGTATCTGAACCCCCCTCCCCAATATGTACTCCTTATCAAAGTAACTTGATTCTCACTAGAACACTGCAGTTAAACTTTCTAAAGTCTCCTAATGATTTAGTCTGTACAACTTTCAAGGAAGATGAAAAGATGAAGAGGCAACCCTTAGTGACCAGTGGATTGTTTCCAGGACATACATCTCTAGCTGGACACCAAAACCCTTGGCCACAGAATACTAATACCTAATGAAATTCTTTTAGACTACTCTGTAGATGTGTTTGATGGAACAAAACTAAGTGCCTATTACTAAGAACATACTTTAAAATATTTATATGAAACTTTTCAAAAGAGAAAAAATACAAACTTCTGTTGCAGAGACAGCTTCTTCTTATAATCTTTGCACTTCTTCTTCTTTTTAGAGGCATCATATTCGCCCTTCAGCTGGAACTTTGCCACCTCAACATGCAATTTGTAGCCTCTAATTTCATCTTCATCCAAAAGTTTTAATGCAAGTTCCACAGATTCTTTCTTTATGAAGGTAAAATAAAATAGTCATTAAGTTGAGCATTGAAATGATACTTGAGGTTTTGATATAAAGAATGTCAGCTACCTATTTCGGGATAAAGAATTCTAGAATATAAATCAGGAAAGCTGTGTACAGAGCACGGGTATATACCTCAAGCACACGTGTTAACTTAGGTAGTGACCTGTTCTCAAAATCCCCATTGCTCCCTCTGTAAAAAAAAAACTAAAATGTTATCTTCATCACAGGGTTCCTCAGAAAACTAGATGAAACAGCATATGAAAAAGTTATGACATGGCATAACTAAGTGTTCAGTAAATTATATTATTGGGTAATTTTTGTCTCCAGGAGCCCAAATATGATCTACAAAATGAAAACAGTAGAGCTGAGTAATTTCTGTGGTATATTCCAATTTTAAAATTCTGTAACATCTTAACAGTGGATGACTAAAGAACTGGAACTGGAAGTAGTATAGCCAGACTTTAGTGTTCAGCTTTATCAAACTAAAATGTAGATCTGTAATAAGAAGAAGATAATTATTTAATGGCTTATATATTAAAATGCATTCATGGATTCTGGGCACTACACAAACACAGTAGTTACCACCCTAACTCAAGGATTGTCCAAGATATAAAAGTCTGAGACAAGCACAGAAGACTACTGACCTCAGCTGCTCAATAAGATAGGGATCCTTCAGTAAGAACTTTATTTTTTAGAGTGCAACTTATCAGCTTGACAACTTGTTACTTTTATGGGCCCTACGTTTTATATAAAAGTGTTTCACAGAACAAAAGATCCAGCCATACCACTCCTAGGCATATACCCAAAAGAGGCTCAAGTACACAATAAGGACATCTGCTCAACCATGTTTGTAGCAGCTTTATTTGTAATAGCCAGAAGCTGGAAACAGCCCAGATGCCCCTCAACTGAAGAATGGATGCAGAAACTGTGGTGCATCTATACAATGGAGTATTACTCAGCAATGAAAAATAAAGAAATCATGAAATTTGAAGGTAAATGGTGAGATCTGGAAAGGATCATCCTGAGTGAGTTGTCCCAGAAGCAAAAAGACACGCATGGTATATACTCACTCATATAAACATACAACATAGAATAAACCCACTAAAATCTGTACTCTAAACAAACTAAGCAAAAGAGAGGACCCTAACTAAAATGTTCAATCCCCATCCTGAAAGGCAAAGAGGATGGACATCAGAAGAAAAAAAAATAGGAATCAACCTCGGAACCTGCTACAGAGGGCCTCGAAAGCCTCTGCAGTATAGACTGTCAAAGCAGATGCTGAGCCTGATGGCCAACTGATGGGCAGAGTGAATGGAATTTTATGTAAGAAGTGGGAAATAGTGAGAGCTGGAGGTGACGGGAACTCCACAAGGAGAGCAACAGAACAAGATAATTTGAACACAGGGAACTTCCCAGAGACTCATACTCCAACCAAGGACTATTCGTGGAGATAACCTAGAACCCCTGCACAGATGTAGCCCATGGCAGCGTCCAAGTGGGTTACATAGTAATGGAAAGAGGGACTGCCTCAGACATAATCTGATTGGCCTGCTCGTTGATCACCTCCCCCTGAGGGGGGAGCAGCCTTACCAGGCCATGGTAGAGGACAATGCAGCCACTCTTGATGAGAACTGATAGACTAAGATCAGAAAGGAGAGGAGAACCTCCCCTATCAGTGGACTTGGGGAGTGGCATGCATGCAGAAAGGGGAGGGAGGGTAGGATCGGGAGGGGAGGAGGGAGGGGCTTATGGGGGGATACAAAATGAATAAAGTGTAATTAATAAAAAAAATTTAAAAAAATAGAATACACAATATAGGGTAAAAAATGTAAAAAAAAGTTGATTTGATGTAGAAAATTGAAAGTGGTCTCTTATTTTTCAACCTGGACAAAATCAATCAAATAAATAAAAATAAATCAAGTGCTTTAAAAACAAAACAAAACAAACAAAAAAAAACATCCAGTCATGGAGCTGAAGAGATGGCTTGAGAATTAAGAGCCCTTGCTACTTCGCAGAGGACCCAAGTTCAGTTCCCAGAAACTATAATGGCTGGCTCACAAAAAGCTATAACCGCAGCTCCATGGGTCCAACGTCTTTTTCTGGCCTGTTAGGCAACAGCATTCAAGTGAATATATATTCACGCACAAACACACACCCATGTACACACATGTATACACATAAATAACTTTTAAAAATCCCATGAACATACTCTTCTTGTAAAAATTCACTTCACAGGTGTTTTAGTCATCTTTAGGCTGGTAAAAGTCTCAAATCTTACATAGAAACACAGAAAACTACCATTCTAAATGATCATGTTAGGGTCCACTTACCCCATGTTGTTTAAGAAACACATTGAATTCTGATAATCCCAAACTTTGCCAGGTTAAGCCTACTTTCTTCTGATCCCATTGTACACTGTCCACTAATTACACAGCCATGATTTATACTATGTTATCATTTTTTACTTTGATTTGCAGTTATTTTTGTTTTGTGCCAGGCAGTAACTGCTAACATGTGCTCCTAAGGAGGCTGACCAGTGTTCCAGAAATGATAACTTGCTTTCATATGAAACAATCCCAGTGCAATTTACAGTAACAAGAGCATACAAAATTCTGCAAATTTACATTTTAATTCTCTTCTGTGGTGTTTAAAGCAGTAAGTATAACTCACCATTTTCTTTCCCGTCTAATTTGAGGTTAGAAAAGTTTTTATAAAGAGCCAGTAAGTAAACAGTTCAGGTTTTGAGGGTCAGAGGTTGATATTGCAACCACTCAATGCTACTGATGAAATAAAAAAGTAGCCAGACACAAAGGTAAGTGAGCAAGTAGGATTATGTTCCGGCAAAATTTTATTTGCAAAAATAGGTGGCTGGCGAGACTTCGGGTAACCACATTCCAATTCATTCCAATGTACAAATAAAACGTCATTGGTTGTTTTATTTGTTTTTTTTTTTCTTAGAATTTTAAACTGTTGATTATATGCAATGAAGAGATCTTTGCATTGAGATTGTTTGAAAAGAAAAGCCCCTCAATCACAAATTTATGTACCATGTTGACTTTATAGCAAACAGTTTCATATAACAAGCAAATTACCCTCATGTTATTAAGTTGATATTTGTTTTTTACTCCGTCTTACTTAATACTTCTTCTGTCTTATGTAGTTGCACCGTTAGTCAAGTATACTGTATAGAAGCACTAATTTATATATAAAATCTAGAAGAGGTACTAGCATCACCTATGTACAGTTATCATCTCAAAGTTCACTTTTCTCTATATTCTGATTTGGATGGTTCTTGGTTTAAGTTAGCATCTATAAACAATTCTAGCCCTAGTTCCTGAGTTAAAATTGGAGAGACAAGAGATGTATTTGACCAAATACCAACCTTTAGATAACAGCAAAGACCATCTCCTTTAAGATTTCCTTGATTATCTTTGTAAAGTTTGACCTTAAATTCTTCAGTCTGAGGATCTCTCATAATAATGCCAAATTTGGACATAAGCTGTATAAATTCATCCACTGTGATATCTGGAGGCAGACCTATAATTTCAGAGAACAGATAAAAGTTTTATGAAGGTAAAAGTTATTTAGTATTTTATCAACAAGAAACCTACAACTTGGGTAAGTACAATGCTGATTTGTCTGAGTACAAAAACCTCCTATCTCTAAATCTGAAGGTCATTCATATTTTATATAAAAGATATATCAGAGTTATGCTATGCTTATGTTTCACTAAATCTGAAGAAACAAATTGCTGTAAATTATCTAAGACAGGCATACAGAGCAGCATGCAAAATTGCATAATTTTTCTTCATTCTGTACTAAGTAAATTCCTAGTTAACATAAACAGGTGACAAAATACACTAAAAACTAAAAATTACTTAGCACAAAGTCTCAAAACTAAATGTCTCCAACCTTAAAACTTTATTAAAAAGAGATACCTGATACATATACATTGGTGTTTCTGTCTTCTTCAACATGGAACCATCCTAAAAATTAAAATGAAATAAATAAAATACTTGAAAGAAACAAGAATCACATTACGAAATCTCAGCAATGGCAGTTAAAACTTTGAGAATGTTCTCTTTATTTAAGAAGACTAAGACTAACCCCAGCTTCCAAAATACATAAACCTTTTTACTGAGAATTAGTTTTAAAGCTCTCTCTGAAAAAGAAAATGGCTCTCTTGATACTTCATGACTTTGAGCCTATCTTAAAGTGAAAACTTACATTATCATTCCTTCAATGATACTAAAATCCTCCAAAACCTATTCACACATTTTTCCTATCTCATTTTTAAATCCAGGTTTTGTAAGACAGAGCCACTTGCCTGATTCGGCCTTTCTCTTTTCTCCCCTCTTTTTGGGGTCAGAGGTTTCGGGGATTTCATTTTGTGGAGGTTCTTCTGCAATCTTAGTGTTGGTGTCCTGGGAATTTGCAGTAGAACTGGATGCACCATCATTAGAAAATCCATAATTAGCCTGATATGTAGCAATGAAATCTTCAGTGATCTAAATTGATAAGTCAACACACATGCAGATATGGTTACTTCAATTGTTGAAACTATGGTATAGACTGTTAATATTCAGTTAATATTACCTAAAGCTTTAACAAGTGTTTATGCCACGGGTAGTTGTACTAATTAAAGTATAATTTGAGAATAGTCACCTTATATGGAAACTGTATAGTACGATAAAAAACAAAAGTACTCAAATTGCCAACCCAAGAAGTACAATAAATTTAAGTGATGCTAGCACTTTTTCTAGTTTTTTATAAATTACTACTTCTCTATAGTATATTTGCTAAGGTAGCCAATACATAAAACAAGAGGAGTATCAAATAACAAGGCAACAAAACCAAAAGTCAACTCATAATCCAATTGCAGAATTTACCTTTGGGTGCACAGATACACAGAAAGATATAGGTACACTAAGACGTTTGTGTTTATTAATGAGGCTGGGAACTGTCAAACAAAATGCCTGCTTTAGTTCTAGCACTAATTCACATTACTGTTTAGTGACAGAACAAACTAAAGACAAACCCAATATACACCCAACATTCTGGCTTTACAGGGGAATTCACTATTGCAAAAATCACTAAATGAAGTTATAAGTTCTATTTATCACTTTCAGGCACACATAAAAGTGGAGAAATTTTATGTGGGTCGTGGTGGCACATACCTTTAATCCCAGCACTCAGGGGGCAGAGGGAGGATGTGAGTTGGATCTCTGTGAGTTTGAGGCCAGCTGGGTATACATGGTAAGTTCTAGGACAGGCAGGGCTGCACACAGAAACCCTATCTCAAAGGAAGAAAAAATAAAGCCAGGTGCAGCGACACACACTCTGAAAGGCAGAGGCAGGTAGATCTCTGTGGGTCTGAAGCCAGCCTAGGCTACAGAGTGAGTACAGGACAGCCACAGCTACACAGAGGAACCCTGTCTTGCAAAACCAAAAATAAAATAAAATAATAAAATAATAAATAATAAAATAAAATAATAAAATAAAATGGCAGACATTTTAGAACCTAAAGTTTAAAGGACTATGTTTTTCAATAACATAAAAGATAAAGCTACCAAGCAACTGACTGTCAGACTATTAAAAGTACTCCAAAAGAAATCTCATCTACATTCAAGCCACACTTCAAAGTCTGGAAGTGGAACAGTAAATTTTTTACAATCTGTGAAGCTTGAAAGATGCACAAATACAAAATCAGAAAGAACAGGTGAAATAAGGAATTTTTGAACTAACAAGCCATCTACACAATGGAGAAAAGTTTTGTGTAACTGGCTCTCAAATCACTTGGTGAGCTGTTTCCTTTGATGCCAAAGCTCCTATGTGGCTAAGACTAACAGGGTACTTTCACCAGAGAGTTTACAACACCAGGTTTAACACTAGCTGTTTTATTTCCATGTTGAAATAAAACACTTAGCAAGTCCCAAGTTCTCAAAACAAATGTCGAGTTTTTTTTTTTCCATCCATTTTTTTCTGTGCATTTCTAGTCCTATTCCCGTGGTTAGACGGTTCAAACTTAAATGCTCTGGAAAAAAAATTTAGTAGAAAGATAAAACAAGATGCAAGGAAAGTTTACTCAGTGAGCGAGGTAAATGACTGCTTTCCCATACCCTAAATCAACAAGCTAGTTGTGATGCTAGTGGACACATTATGTACACTAAGTATCACTTAAGTTTGGTTATACAGGAGAAAACTGTTACTAATGAGTTTTTCTTGGTGTTTTTCCTCTTTGCAGTAAAAACATTAAGATAACAAGTAACTGTGACCTTCACACCTACAAAAAAAATTAATAAGGCATAAAAAGAGCGTAAGGCACCACATTAAGATTAATTTCCTTCATACACTGGTACTGCAATAGACCCGACAAATAGACAAGTCACCGATCACCAGCTCAGAGCAAACATAAGTGGGGTGTGCCGCAAAGGTAGCCCCGCGGAGCCCCACAGACCGCTCCGCAGTGGCACTCAAGCTACTCTTTCTTACCTTAGGGAACCAAGCCTTCTTATCAAGGTCCCACTCGTAGGGAGTGTCATCCGGTGGTTGTCCCAAGGAATTGGCTTCTCCAGTGGGCTCATTCTGGGTGTCACTGTCCTTGGGGTCTCCGTACAATTCTTGCATTCGCAACTGCTCATCAAACTCATCGTTCCCGCTTAAGTTGCTGCCACTCATGTTTCTTACTTAGCCCCAGAAACCGTGGTTAGGCAAGCGAAGCGGTCACAACGACTCTGGATAGAAGCAGAGAAAGGGAGGTCTGTGAAGCTAAGAGCTCAGAACACACTGCAACCCCCGGCCCGCCTCCCCGCAGCGCCCCAGCAGTCCCTGGGAAGTCTTAAGCCGCACCGCCCTAACTCCGCCCCCACGCCCGCCCCCAACGCGCACGCATGCGACTTGAGGCTGCCAGCGCGGTCGCCGCCACCCACCTGGCGGGCAACGCGGGGCCTAGGCGCCACCGCACGGCCCAGGACGAAGCGGAAGCGCGCACGCGCACTGTCACCGCAGTGGCGGGCTCCGGAGGCGCCACAGCTTCCTCCTGCCACGTCAGAAAACGACTTGACAACGAAGTTTCCTCAGGCTGATGCAGGCGCCATTGTCCGCGCCTGGCAACGTAGCGGGTCGCGCTGACACGCCCACACTGGCGTCAAACGGTAGCGACGCTTGAGAGAACCAGGGGCGGGGCTCCGAATTCGTGCTCCCGCCTCGAGGTCCATACTCACGGAACCTCACTTGGAGACACATCCTGCAGAAATGCATGATACCCCAGAAACCTTTGCCTCGGGGCGGGGGGGGGAGGGGGCTCCTATGCACTCCGGACGAGTTTTGCCCAAGATAGCCTGAAAAGCGACGTGGGACTCTTCCGGGAGAGCTGGCGCTGGATGGGCTTTGCGGCAGCCGCCATCTTGGGGAGGTGGGTGGGACCGTGGGACAAGTTTCTCCCGCTTCGCGAAACCTTTGCGCCTCTTTCATGGTAATCCCCGCCCCTGCGCAGGAGCTAAGTATTCATTTAGTCTTAAGTGCTTGAACTAGGGTGCACAGGGCTTTTGTTCATCTTGGGAACCCAAACACCTAACACGCTGTTTGGGGTCTAGTGAGGAAAGAGTGAAGGAATGGTGGGCAAAGCCCCCATCACTTCCTTCCTACTTCTTTATGCCTGTGGTACCATCCTCAGGCTGCAGTAGGTGAGAGTAGCTTTTGCCTAAGGCTTACTGCAGTGTATCAGGTATTCCGGTTTGGAACTTGAAGCTTGACTGTAAAGATCCCCGTTTATAGGAGCTGAAGCACGTGGCTCTATTTCCTCTTAGGAAAGACTGCCCACTAAGTGCTCTAAGTAGAACTTTCCCCCGGTTGTTTCATGCACCCCCGAAAAGAGAGGGGGGCCATATTTTCAAAATAGGTATTTACTGAACTCCTAAGTGCCAGGAATTGGGGAAACGTTCTGGAGCAACAGTCAAAGAATACAGGCACAAATTAAAGAAGAATCAGTTATGGTTGGCGAACAATATGATAGCAGTACCATATGTTGGAGAGCAGCACTTACTTTGTTTGCAGCATCCTTTTATGCTCAAAACTTAGACAATTCTAAAGAGCTTTTTTGTATGTGGATTGCGTTTATCAACAAAATGTTGCTTGTAATGTTAACTATGCAAGTAAAATTTTAATTAATTCGTTAAAAGTACCAGTGAACCCTCTGTGTAAACGTCAGTATTATAATCCAGACTTGACCATATGAATATGCTTCCCAGAAACTGCTTTGATTCCGGTCACTTGTTTGTAAATACAGTAGTTGGAGTTGGGTTCTAGAGCGTCCTGACTCCTCACAGACCTCTGTGAATCTGATTTCAACCTTAACAGTGTTTTGAAAACAGTAGTTTTTGTTTTCAAACACATTTGTTTTTATGAATTTCTTGTTTTTAGTAGAACTATTAGAGAAATGAATTTGTATGCATGCTATGGATTTTGTTAGATTCTTTTAAACATTGCCGACTAGTTCTTGCTTCCATCTGAAAGTGGTATAGAGCTCTTTTCAGTAATTTGTTAATTCAGCTTCCATTTCATTCTCGACTATGTTTACAAGACAAGATATACTGTACTCACAAACAAATGGGCAACACCACCCCATGTCTTCACAAGCAAATGGGCAATCCCACCCCACCTCCTTACAAACAAATGGGCAAAAAGAAAAAAAGGCCCTTTGTCTAGGTTCCATGTCACCAAGTCTCCTTTGCTCAAAAGCTTCCTAAAAGCCTGAAGCAGGTCTCACTGGAGGTAGCATCGCATTTTGCACTAGATTTGCCGGAACCAATTATCCTTTTGTCCCATAAAGTTTGAGCACAAACAGATGTAGAGTCAGGGTCAGAGAAGAATGAAAACAGGTACCTATTGAAGGTAAAAGGCCTGACAAGGGACTTCCGTGAAAAAGTTCCCCTACCTTTCTTACAAACTCTGCAAAGTTAAGGAACTATACTAGGATATATTTATATCTCCTCTTGTTGGGGAGTTTTATTGGCCCCACATCTTGTAGTCTCTAAACTTAGTTGGGGCAGGGAATCCTTCTTACTAAAAAGTTGGTAGATATTCTACCTATGATGATATGAACTGCAGAAATTCCTTTAAAACTAAATTTGCTTACAGAAGGTATACAATGTTGGGAAGCACTTTTTATTTCAACGACAAAGGTGTACATAACTCTGTTACTGTGTTTTAATATTCCATAGAGTATTGTTGTGATCTCTATCCTAAATCTTAGGCAAGGGAAGACCTTTGGCAAAATTGGGACATGTACACAATTTGTTTTGCATGTATCCATATCTCTTCCTAGCTAGAACCCTCTCTAAAGAAATGAAATACCTGCCGGGCATGGTGCCTTACATCTGTAATCCCAGCACTTGGGGAGGCAGAGGCAGGCAAATATCTGTGAGTTTCAGGCCAGCCAGAAAGAAAGAAAGGACAGGAAAAGAAATGAGGTGGATTGCTGTGAATTCAATGCCAGCCTAGTCAACAATGCAAGTCCAGGGCTAAGGTACACAGAGAAACTATGTCTCCAGGAAGAGAGAGAGAGAGAAAGAGAGAGAGAGAGAGAGAAACATACATAAATGTAATTGTGGTTAGTATAGCCAATTGCGAAGTTAGCCCCAAGAAGAAAAATCACTTATTTTTCCTAATAAAGACATGCTGAAGATTTAACTGCAATTTTATAGCTACAAAAGGGGAGGGAACTGATCCTAGAAAGCTCAGAAGTTATTTTATGCACATTTCACCACTAACTCATGCAGAGCTCCAGTTTTGTGAAATATGAAAATACTCCCTTGGTTTTTGTAGCCTGGTACTTTTAAAAATTAGGGTTCTAATTACTGATTCTGTGTATGAATACATATGTAAAATGTATTCCTCTATGTGTGTGCGCGCGCAGGTGCACATGCATGGGAGGATGCCCTGTATTTTATCACTCTACCTTACTCCTTTTGAGGTAAGGTGTGTTGCTGAACACAGAACTTATAGTTTACTGTTTGTTTGTTTGTTTGTTTATTGCAGCTAGGCTGGCAGCCAGCAAGTGCTAGCAATCCTATTGGTTCAGCCCCATTCAGTGCTGTAATTGCAGGTGTGTATAAGACTACACCTGGCTTGTGGGTGCTGGAATCCAAAATCTGGTCTTCATGCTTGCACAGGAAGCGTTCTTAACTGCTGAGATCTCCCTCAAGCCCATAGCCTGGTACATTTACAAAATTGTATCTCAAGTGTTAGACTCAGGAGAGTAGATATATAACATTTTTTAATTAAGGAAAATAAAATAATGTGTGGTTTTGTGATTTAAAAATAATGTCTTGGAATTGAAATATGTTCTTATATTTTGTCAGTTTTCTAGCACAAGAAATTACACAAAGACATTCAAATTTTATTTATTTATTTTCTCACCACCAGATGTTTTACAACAATTTTGCTCACTTTTAAACAATGTTAATACAATATTAGCACCCCCAATTTTAAGTAAGCCAATTTTAAGGGCATTTAAAGCCCTGTGTTAATATATGCCCCCCCTTTTTGAGCCACATAATTAGCAGAAGTTCACAATAGCACAAGTCATTTAAAGCTCAAAAATACCAAAAGCACTTTAAAAAAAAGTTTTTAAAAATTCAAATATAACTATGCCAAAGATAAGCTTCAATTTACTTCAAGAATACATTTTCTGAAAGCACAAATTTAAATCTGACAAATCTAGTAACTACAAAGACTTTTTTCCCAGTTACATTTACTAAGCTTATTTTCGTTAGCAAGTTGGAGCAGAGGATAGAAAGTCAGAGCCTTCTGTCTGACTTTTAGAAACAGAGATGACCTCTAGGACTTATGCACCCATCAAGTTGAGTAAAATCAAGCAGGTAGATGATCCAATAATGCTTGCATAGCCAGGTGTTGGAGATTCCGTGTGGCAATTCTGCAGGTTTTTAGAAAGAGGGCGCTGCTCACCCAAATGAAATGAGTTTCCTTAGAGGAAAGAATTTCAGACAGTGGCAGCTTAGAAACTTGAACAGGAATCTTCCTCTGGGGCCCGTGGTCACACTAACACTGTAGCCCCCTGTCTGGCCTGTGAATAAGACAAATTCCTCACAACGTTTGTGAGACATGGCTTTGCCTAGTTATTAATCAATGGCAGTAGAATTACATAAAGTCAGGAAGTGTTGACCCGATGTGGGAAGCACCCTGCCCCAGATGCAGCACTTACACCCTCAGACTCTCAAACGTTTGCATTTCAATTGCAAGGTTTCTTGGAATGGAATGGTGACTGAAGGAAAAGGGCAGTCACTCTGTGAAAGTATGTATATGTGTGTGTGTGTATTTACAAAACACCACAAGAGATGTTTTTATCTCTTTTTGATCTAATTTACAGAGTAGAATCCCTAGATTTACAGCATATAATATACACAAACACTATTTTATGATAACCACACGAATACATGAGAGATGAGGAGCATCCGAGATGGGGGATCTAATCGGATTTTTAAACTTATCTTGTTTATTTACCACCACCCGCCTATACAGCCTTCTTCACCATTGACTGGCATTTCCAGTCCTGTTTTTCTCTACTCAGTGGGCTTCATTGTATTCAGAAAACCCAAACAGCATTACTGTTTGCACCTTGAAGAAAATTATAGTTTGTCTTTTACTTACAGGAAAATTCATTCTGAAAACTTAAACACAATACATGAACAGCAAAAACCCAGACACTGTACTATGCACAGCTTAAAGCTGGATACACACAAAGGGACTAAAAATCATTTTTTAATGGAAAATCTAAACTTTGTCCTCTGCCTTCTTGGTGCTACAGCCACTGAACAGGGTCACACTAATATCAGACACCTGTGTGCTCCCAGTAGCTGGGACCCGCCCTATCACAGTGAGATTATCAAGAGGATTGTCACCAAGAGAAGTCTCAGGCTGTTCTGCTTTGAAGCAGCAGAGCTGAGCTTTAAAGTGCTTCTGGAAGGTCTTGCTCAACCAGTAGAGAGCAAAGGGGTTTACACAGGAATTACTGAAAGCCAGCACTCGAGAAAATACAGTGACAATAAAAGGAATGTCAGTGGGCTCCTCATAGCTTCGGTAAGTGAATGAGTGATAGAGATACAGGAGGTGATTCGGCAACCAGCAGATAGCGAACAGAGCCACCAGCACCAATACTGTTTTGGCAATTCTCTTCCGGGATTCAATCTATAGGGAGAGAAAATTGTGCACACACATAAAAAAAACCTCATTTATCTGGCAGAAATTAAAAAAAAATACCATCCTCTAGATTGACATAGGAATTTACAGTTAACAAGCTGGCCTCCCTTTGAACACATACTTGTGAGCTAACTGGCTGGGACACATGGGAAGTCTGCCTGTGGATACAGAATATGACAAGTTAATTGGCATGCTAACCTGTGATCTTGGTCTCATTAACTCTCATTCTGAGGCCTCCCACCGTCCTTGGATGCTGAGATACTCTAGTTAACTCAAGCAGTGCTGTGGAATCCCCAGTGATTTAATTTTACTAAAATGAGTGATACTATTCAGAGCACCTTTCATTGCATCCACAGAGGCTGACAGGTGCGAACAGTCTTCTGCAGTAAAAGAAAGTTGTCAGGTTGGCACTAAAGTTGTTTTTAATCTATAGGGATTTGAATCATGTAGGCAGAGGGATAAAAACAAAATGTGCCATCCATCATATATGAGAATGCTCCTATCCACATCTGTTAGCACAAGAGATGCACCTAGTAGAGCCACAGACAGAGCAAAGAAAACTGGACCACATGGGCACTAAGTATATAGCTTATATAGCTTCAGGCTCATGAGCACAGCTATTCAATTGGTTAACTGCAAAAAGAATACTTGTATCCCTCGCCCCTCTTTCTCTTCCCTCTCTGTAAAGAGCACTTCTTCCCTGTTCTCTGGGATGGAAGCCTCCTGGACCACCAATCAAACAGAACAATGTTTGGTACCATCCTTTCATCTTGTACAGATTTATGAAAGGAGAGCACGCCTAACTTCAGCAACAGTCCTGTGTATGAGTCACTGTGTTCTCTTGCCATGGCCACTTCATTCCACTCTACTCAGATCTCAGGTTGTTCATCTGTGTAGAAACAGTTTGGATTGAGTAATGTGATGAATCTTGCCAGTTTTCCCATTCTGTGACGTTACACTGCTTCGTGACCCTTGCTAAAGCAAACAATGCTTTGCTATATAATCTCACATTATTCAGATTCCCTTACTGGTCTATAAGATAAAGAGCTTGGACTAATCTCACACTTCCGTTACTCTGTCTATAATACTAATAGTCTCACCACCGATTGAATGCAGAGTACCATCAGGAACTATGCTAGGAAGTTGATCTATGTCATTTAGTCCTCTTCATTTTACAGATAAAGAGATTGGGACTCAGAGAGGTCAAATAACTTGCTCAGCATTGCTCAGTGTGTGATAAATTTCAGACTGAAATGAGAGGCTGTCCTCACACCAACAGAAGTAGACTGTGACTTGATCTCTACACAGGTAAAGGCAGTGTAGCTCAGTGAAAACTGCTTGGGGAGGAGGCTCACCTCTAAATTCAGGGTGTATTTTCAGGAGTGCCAATTTATACATACCTGCTTTCGGGCATGGCTTTGTTCCTCAGTAGGTATATTCAAGGTGCTTTTGTAAAGAGTCCTGGCAATCAAAGAATAATAGACAGAGATAATCGAGAGCGGGATAATGTAGAACACTAAGAAACACAACAGAGAATGGATTTCTTGCAAGAGCCTCTCAGAGACAGGGTAGGAGTTACAAGATTCAAATGTGACATTTCTGTTAGGATCTCGGAAAGTGTATACATTTGAGAATACAGCCTCTGGCACAGCAAATATCATAGACATGATCCAGATGCCACCAGCTTTTGCACAAGTCTTCAGAACAGCATTGGAGGGCTGTCGCTCAAGTGGCTTCACGACCGCTTTGTATCTAGAAACACATAATCACAAGCAGAGTTGAAATCAGTGATATGTGTGACTTTAGCAATCATCCAAATCTTCCTTCTTTCCAGTCATAGAGAACCAACTAGAACTGACTGGGGTTCAAAAAATACAGAATATACCCAGTGATTTTATTTATGCTAATTAGCATGTCCCTTATTCATTCCTATGAGACGTTCCAGATCTGCAATTTTATAATTTTCTGACAGACCCTTTCTTTAGGACAAATATTTTCAGCGTGTGATTTGAGAATAATTCACCACCTATGTGTTGCCATAAGTATCCCAAAGAAGTCCTGTATGTATAAGTGACTCATGTTAATCAAATTAATTCTCCTGGACAAAGTCTTCAGTCTTCCTAGAAAAGATTTCTAGCAGGAAGAAGCAGAGAGGTCATGTTTTCCAATTCATAAGGGCTACTTCATTCCCTAAGTTAATGGATTAATGGGGGACATGAAGATAAAATCAGAAATTGAGCCCAGGCAATTGTGCTTCTTCCTTTGGACAGAGGAGGAAACTCTTTAGCCTCTGTGGGAGTCTGCCCTTAAGAAGAATATAGACCAATAAAAGCAACAGCAACAACATACAATAACAACAATACTCCTACTACTACTGATGATGACGACACAGAGAAAGCTTCTGTTCTTTTTAGATTCCAGCATCTAAAACTAGTCCTGCCAATACTGCCAGGCATTGATTACCTACAGGTTCTTATGAAATTTTTAAAGCACTACCTTTGATATTTGGAGACTCAGTTTTTCATGTTTTTGCAGTTATTCTGCAATAGGTATTCTACTCAGGAAAACAGAGTATTCAAACTAAAAACACCCTAAACAAAAAACAAAAAACAAAACAAAACAAACAAACAAACAAAAACCCCAACTCTCTGACAGTGAGACTGCTTCACATGCTATAGCCACAGGACTCTAAAAGTCCATCAGAATAAGTTTACTTCTCTAGGAATGATAATGTCACCACATGCTTACAGAGAAAACAAATAGAATTAAATGATGACATGACACTGAACTGCTAGGGAGCTGAAAACCTTACTGTTTCCTTCCGATTAGATAATCTGGGACTTTCAAATAAATTAGATGCATCTTATCACTTTACCATCCTTCTGGTATGTGATAATGCATACACAGTCCATTTCACACATATGCCAATGTTTTCGTGTTGACTCTGTTATACCACTAGGCTGCACTAATGTATAAAGCATGAGTATTTTTCTTTGTACCTGCAACAATTTGCCTGACTTAATAAGCCGGAGGAAAATAAAAACACCGTTCACTGTTCTTTCAAGCAAACAATTACATTTCAAAGAAATGAAACCCCCACCCAAAGCATATATTTTTCAAGCACTCTTCAGATGCTAACAGAAAAAAATTAACATCTTTACTCTAACTTTTATTTTAAAATCCTACCGTCTTTTTCTGATTTTACATTTAGGTTACAGAGTGTGAGAAAAGCAACCGGTAGCCAGTAAATGCTAAGCACAAGCTTTTCTTTCTTTCTTCTTCTTTTTTTCCTCTTTACCTAATTTCACATCCCAGCAAACAGAACAGAGAAAAGAAACTCACCTGTCAGCACTGAGAATTGTTAGCGTGAACACTGACACACCGACAGAAGTGAGCCGGATGAAGGAAAGCACTTTACAACCGATCTTTCCAAACAGCCATCCTTCTGCTAGGTAGTGGGTTGCATCCACGGGCACACACGTCAGCAGAAGCAACAGATCTCCGAAAGCCAAGCTGGTGATGAAAATATTTGGAACTGTTTGCATGGATTTCGTCTTGAAAAAGACTTTGATGAGGATAGCATTTCCGAGGATGCCCACTGAAATGATCACAGCATAAGTGATATAGATGGCACACAGTGCTTCTAGTCCTGGAGAGTTGTCTCCGGTCCGTCCTTTCTGAGTGGTATCGTTGGAGACAACAGAGCTTGATGCTTCTGTGTCATTTGTGATGGAAATTAAAGTCTGGTTAGTTGAGTGAGGCTGCCTTTGAGACATGTCTCCTTCACTACCTCTTCTCTGCTCAGTTCAAATGGAGTTAGTTGACTGTCACGTCTAGTGCCTCCGTCTAGTAATGAGGTGGTGTCAGAACAGAACAGAACGGAATGGGAAGAAAACCGAAGACATCCGGCTACTCCTTCCCTTTAGTTGTTCTGTGTCTCCCAGCATGCTTGGCTAAGCGCTTACAGATCTGGCACCAGGAAGTGGGAGGTGGAGGATGGACGAGTCTCATTGGCATTCTTATGACATAAGATGAGGAAGGGGGCTGAAGAAATGCCTTTCATTTGCTTTTCCCTTTGGGAGGTGGGTAGTCCTTTGAATAAATAGGTTTATTAGGCCACCTAATTGTTTATTAGAATCACCTGTGTCTTAGTTTCTACCCAGCAAGGTCTAGATAGATCTTATTGAATTAAAAACAAACAAACAAACAAACAAAAAAACAAAACAGGCTCACCATCCCCCATCACATAGTGATCTAATACACTCTCTTTTATATGACAAATAAGGATGGATGGCCCCCAAAGCACAAACTTGAACCCACTCCTCAAAATTTAATATCAGAGAGACACTGAAGCAACAAATCACTCACACCTTGACAGAACTCATGTCACCTCAGAAAGGCAATAATCCAATGACCTGGGATGAACATCTAATTCTGCCACATGGGAATTCCCAACCTTCATGTCTCTGTGCTGTACTATACCAAGGCAACCTGTAAGTGATGCAAAATACAAGCAGACCACCAGTCATTTTGTCTCTTAGTGTCTCAATAAAATCAGGTTTTCCACTTGCCTATCTGTTTAAATAGAAATCTTTTCCAAGTTTAAAGGAGTTCTTTCCCACAAAATGATTCAAATGAACTAGCTTTATTCTATAACCAAATAACACTGAATAACGTCACTCAAGATCTTGACCCAAAAAGTGTTGGAAGAATGAAAATTTATTCTTTTTTCCAATGGAAAAATATAATATAGATCATTCCAGAGATAAGGAGCATGCAGATGATGTATGCATCAACTAAAAAAAAAATTAAAAATATAAAATTAAGGCAATCACTATGGCACCAAAAAGAAAGGCCCGTTTTTTGTTTGTTTGTTTTGTTTTTTGTTTTACAGAAACTAAATAAAGATGTGTGTGTTTGTGTGTGTGTGTGTGTGTGTGTGTGTGTGTGTGTGTGTGTGTGTTGGAGAAGGAGGTGGAAAATAAAAATATATGTTATAGGAAAGTGGAAAGGGGCTGCTAGGGCTATAGTTCAAGTTACTGAAAGGGGACAAGGTGGGAGCGGAGTGGAAGAGAAGAGTACTTGCTTTAATACTTTTGTGCTAAGAAGAAGTGTAGGTTTCTTTGTTATTACTTAATGGGATTTGATAAGTAACGAAAAGATGCAGTTTGACTTGTGAGTGTGCTCTGCAATAGTGATTCTTTTTATTACCAACCCCTCTGTTCTCGTTCATAATGGCATGCCCCCAAATCTTATCAACACAAATGCCTACAAAAACTCAGAAAAGCCTTTGTAGAAACCAAGTAAAATTAAACACAAATTGTAGTGGTAGATGCTAAGAGTTGGAGTTTTCCATTGAATCTTCTAGGTGGGATGTTTGATTCTTTTAAGGACTAAACTTAATGCCTCTCTAAAAGTGGACATGTATGGAGGCTATTCTAAGATGTAGCCACCTACATCCCTATACTCAATCATTCACACATGCCTAATCTCATAGGCTGTGATCAGTGTGAGCTACAATTAAAACTTACTAAGAAAAATTTTCATTCGCTAAAATCTTTAGGCATTCTGAACACCAGGTGAAGGTACAAATGATGAGCTAGGTGCATTTATCTCCATGCATTCTTATCGATCTTCTCGGTAATCTTTCTTTTTTAGGAGTTTTCACCATACCCCCAATCAGATGTCTCAGTCCTACACAACTTACTTTCAACCTTTTACTTATTAATCCCAGTTTAAGGTGCTTCAGTTAATGAAGATCAGATGCATACCATATGGCCCCACAATCCTAGTCTTAGGTATCTACCCAAAATAAATAAAAAGCATATTTCCACACAGAGACCAATACACAAATGGATATGGAAGATTTTTTTCATAAAAATGAATTATAAATAAACCAAATGAAATAAAAATAAATAAAATAAAATAAAAAACAGAAATAATTATTTAATAGTGGAATACTACACAACAATAAAAACAAAATTTTGCTGCTTGTTATAAAATGAATGAATGTCAACCATGTTGCAATGAAATACCTCAGACAATTGATGTGATTCCTTAATATAAAATTCTGGAAAAGTTGAAAAGCAGAAGTGACATATAAAGCATATAAATAGCCTGGATCTGAATATTTGAATGGGAATGAGTACTGAGGAGCACAGGAAGCAATTGGGTATGCTGGGGTATTCTATAGCTATGCACTGTGGTGTAATAATGTAATAATGGTTGGCTGACTAGAGAAACTGATTAAAACCCAGAATGACACTCTCAACTGGCTGAGTTCATGATACTAAAATTAGATATCAACAAAGTTTGAAAATATGAAGGAAAAGTAAGACTGGGGCTAGATGTCTTAAGAAGATATAGATGAGGAAGACTTTTTCAGCAGTCTTCAGAACATTCCATGAGGACTAGAGCTTGTGCTTATAAGAGATACAGGGATGAGAAGGACTTAGCACATAGCTTTTAAAATGTAATTAAGAAAAGTACACAAAGAGCCATGCAATGTGAACTTCTCTGGGAGTAACACATGCTTGCTCACATGGGATATCTATTTTCTTTCCAAATCTTCTACCTCAAGCATTTTTCTACCTCTTGAGATTGTGAGAAGTTGCCAGCTAGCGTTACTGGCAATGTTTTAATCATTCTGGGTCTTTCAAAGCATTTTGATTGTGCTGATAAATGGATATTTTACCTGGTGCTGTTAATGCCTAGAGTTTCACCGTGCCATACACTCTCTATGTCACTCTTCCAAGCCTAATATTCTTTCTCACAATTTCTCCAAGCCATGAAGTCCTTCTTGAGTGATCACCACTGGTCTGCTAGACCTTGTTCTTTTCTGTCCAACCTATGAAGGCATGGAAGCCCCTCTTACCCATTTTTTTCTAGAAGAAGAAATCTAATGTTAACCTTATTTAAACAGAGCTTACACTCTTTAAGGTTATTTTCATGTTTCCTCTTCCCCGATATCACTATTTTTTTTTCCTTTACTGACTTTGCTGACTTTCCCCATGTGTATTTGGGGAAACTAAAAGGCTGGGAAAAATCAAGGCACCAACCTGAACCATGGGCAGAGGTTTACAAGTCTGTATGCCTAACCACTTCCCTATCAGAGAGAGGTAGCTTCGATCGAACTACAAACTTTGACTAGTCCTAAAGCACAGCATATTCTCTTGATCTATGCCAGTCAAGGTGGTTTCTCAAGATGTCACCTGAACTTTTTCGGACTCAGTTCAGAGATGTCCTAAACAAAATTTTCGCAGATCTTCATGACTTCTTACTCTTTAGTGACTAAGATGAAGCTCATGCCTTCGAGGAACCTCCACTGAGTGTATAGGATGGCAACGTATTCTCAACCAAAACCTTCTTGAGCTACCTGGAATGTCTCTTCTTGCTTGGGAAATAAAACCTTAGGTCATTTATCTAGAGACAGAGATTATCTTAGTTAGGGTTTTATTGCTGTGAAGAAACACCATGACCATGGCAACTCTTATAAAGGAAAAACACTTAATTGGGGCTGGCTTATAGTTTCAGAGGTTTAGTCTGTTATCATCATGGTGAGAAGCGTGGCAGAGTGCAGGCAGACATGGTGCAGGGGAAGGAGCTGAGAGTTCTACCTTTTGATCCACAGGCAGCAGAAGGAGACTGTGTGCCACACTAGGCTTAGCTTGAGCATAGGAGACCTCAAAGCCTGCACCCACAGTGACACACTTGCTCCAACAAGGCCACACCTACTTGAATAAGGCCACACCTTCTAACAGTGTCATTTCCCACCGGCCAAGCATTCAAACATTTGAGTATATGGGGGCCAAACCAATTCAAACTACCACAGAAATGAAGCAGATTTCACGCATGTTTTAAGACAGGTACTTTGTTCCAAGTTTAGAAATGGGTAGAGAAAGGAAAGGGTGGAGTCCTAATCCCAGCACTGAGAAAAACCACCAAAGTAAGAAAACAGCTTGTAACTAAGACCTGAGACTGGCCCAGAACTCCTTCAGCACGCTTTAGCCATAAAATAATGACTGTTCAGGTGGGTCAAGAGAGGGACTAAATGCATAAGTAAAAGACTATGTTCTGCAGAATTAGGGACAGGAGGATGTCATAGTCTGATATATGGCAGGTTCTGTACTGTGTACCATGCCAAGCAAACCCTTGTCAGTATGGTGCAAGAGAATTACTTTTCTAGACCATACTCACATTCAGAACAGCTCTCTTTTAGAGGACAGACTTCCGGGCTGTGGTATTATGTCCACGGTATCTTCATTATTTCATGTTACTTTAGTGTCTAAGACAAATATCTAGTAACAGCTCAGAGGATGTTTTAAAAAATATATCAAACACGATGAAATACGAATTAGATATCACTTACTGGAAAATAAGCATGCAGATGCACTGTGACTAATATAGTTTGAAGGTTTGAAGATATACAAAAATCTTAGCAAGAATTGTGAAGTCCTGACAAGTACAAGAAATGACCGAAGAGCTGTGAATCTGTAATTATGCTTCCATTCGTATTCTTTTCTGTTATTATTTTTGAGATGTCTTGGTTTCACATAAACCATTTTTCTTCCAGCTGAGGAAATAGTTCTGTGTTCCACCTAGCTCACATTAAATCAAGAAGGACTATCCCTGTCTGTCCTCAGCAGGTAGCATGTTGCCTTAGCCTCAGTTGGAAGGAGTGAAGACTAAACTGGGTGTATTACTTAGGCAGGGCTGTCCTCACACAGGAATGACTTCCCAGTGCACCACTGCCAGAAACACTAAGGGTCATCTTCCA